TGCATTGCGCAATGACCTATACAAATTGTCACCGCTCATAAGAATTGAGTCAATGGTGGAAGTAGTAAATTCATTCCCAAGACATTTCCACGCGACGGCACAGGCTGAGTTAGCCACACATTGGGCATTTCTGCTGTAACCGAAACGTTTTAGATCGCCTTGGTGAAATGATCCACTGGCAGCGCAAGTAACTGCCATTTCAATGCCTTTTTAGTAACTGAATTTGAAATACAATAATGAGAAATACCACGCTCAACAACTAACAAAGTACGTCAACAGATTTGTAAAAAAAGGAAAATGTGTGGAACTGAATAATCGTAAATCTAAAATAAATCAGATTTACAACAACAATAACCACAACTTTAAAACCACTTATTTTCTAAGAAACCTAACACAAAACAGGATCACTGACGATGATGTTTCAATATTGTCAGTTAATCAAATAATAGCAGACAAATAAAACACGACTGTCACAAGTAGAGAAACTATACACGAATAACGAAAGCAAAATTTCCCTGCCTACTTCTACAATGAACAGCTGACGGGGTCACATAAAAACAGCCAGTCAACTATGATTCCTCAACTACAAAACTAAATACGAAAAGAAACAGCAAAAAAACTGTGGTTTTTATAAGTAAAACCACAAAATAAACCTATTGAAAGCCGCAGAAGAATAACAATAACCACAACTTAAAAACCACTTATTTTCTAAGAAACCTAACCTAACTTTAAACAGGACGACAGACGAGGATTGCCAGCAAATCAAATATTAGCTGACAAATAAAAGACGAAAGTCACAAGCAGAGAAACTGAACAGGAATGACGAAAACAGATTTTCCCTGCCTACTGCCTACTACTATAACTAACAGCTGACGGGATCACAGTAAGCCAATATCAAAACGGCCAGCCAACTATGATTCCTTAACTACAAAACGAAAAAAAAAACAGTAAAAACCTTCGGTTTTTTTATAATTAATACCACAAAATCAAACTATTGAAAGTCACAGATGAACATTAACAACTATATTTCAACAGTGGATGCCAATAATAAAGCAGAAGTGTATTTGAAATACAACAAGGGACGAAGAACAGAATCACGTGTACTGAACGCAAGCGTGTCTGGACAACGAATGAGCAGGACAAGGTGGACGGCGTCCGTCCCTGAGAAGTGAAAGTTGCCCCCTCCACTGCCCCCCAAGATGGTGGGGATAGTGGTGACGTAGACTAATTCGGGGTGTACTATAAATGAGTAAAAAGTATATTGGAATGGATTTTATGAGACAAAATAAAACTAAAATCAAGAATACGGTTTTCTCCTAAAACGGCTTGTTAGCGAGACATTTGCAATTTTTACCTTTTTAAAAAATAATTTATATTGTCAAATTCGTGTTAACCTATGCTCTGTTTCCTGATCTTAAAACAAAGCTTATGGGATCGTGCAATTGGAGGACCTTTTAGATAAACACTAGAAAAATTGTAATAGTTTTGTAATTTGAAGAATTTGTATTGCCTTTTTTATTGTTTAACAGCTTAACATGTTTGTAAAACAGTCCTTAGACAAGTTCTAGTTGATTTGTTTTTACTATATCACTGCTCCTTACCGTTTTCGCGTTATTGACTTCGAGTACTGCAAATAATATAAAAGGTTCTATACTTAGCATCTTATAGTAATATCTAAAACATAAATGTTCACTTTTATTTTAATTCACTTTTAATACTTGTACCTCATGCTAACTGTTTTTAAGTTTGATGAGTTTGGTAGGCTTTTGCCACCTGGCTACTTAAATAACAACAATAATAACACTAAAAGTTACTATATTTACCAACAGGGTGCACGACTATTATTAGTTTTTTTTTTTATTTATGACAACGGATAATTTGAACTACGCCAAAAAGCTGTAATAAAAGATGAGAACTGTCTTAGTAGGATTTTATAGTTATGTTAATGTTTTTAATTTAATAAATAATTGTTCATATTTTGCGAATACGACATTTATATTCTTTAAGTACCTAATGCATCAACTTTTATTGGAAAATGTACCGTGTTTGTACGTTTGGTTTCTCCAAAACAATGTCCGGTAAGCGGAGTAGCCCAGTTATTTTTTGTGGATTGCCGATCAAGTCAATGACTTGATGGAAGGAACCAATATTATGGATGTGAAAGTATATGTCAATAACGCGAAAACTACTTGAACAATTGAGCTAAACGGAGCCAAATACCACAGGCTTAATGGACATAGGCATATTGTTATGCGTTTCTACTTCGTTCTTATGAATACGCTTAGTATTATAATTGCCAAATTAATACACACCATGTTTTTGACAATTACCTGTATTTATGATCATCAATATTTTCATTGCTGTAATCAATACCAATTATCAATTTTGTATGCATATATACCTGTAAAAACAAATTTACTACGTTTTTGACAATTACTTGTTTTATTGTTACACGTTTCTACTTCATTCTTATGAATACGCTTAATATTACAATTGACAAATTGATATACACCATGTTTATAGCAATTACCTGTATTTATAATAATCAATTTTCATTGCTGTATTCATCGCCAATTAAAGAAATAATTGTATGTTTATGTACCTATGAAAACAAATTTACCACGTTTTTGACAATTATTTTTATCTGGTACTTTATCAAAATTGTAAACAATTTTTATTCATGAGTTATTAAAATTGTCATGCAGCAGATTTATGTAACATAAAAAACTAATTTACCACGTTTTTGACAACTAATTGTTTCATGAGTTATTAAAATTGTCATGCAGCAGATTTATGTAACATAAAAAACTAATTTACCACGTTTTTGACAACTAATTGTTTGGTACTTTTAAAAATTGTAAAACATTTTCATATATGAGTCATTTAACATTTCATACAGCAGCTCTATGTTACATTCTAACTATTCTCTTTAGCGTCCTCTAACCTTTGCGAAGCACTGGTATGGCGGCTAGGTAATTATATTTATGTATATCAATTTTCATTGCTTAAATCACTACCAATAATCAATATTATAGGTATTATAATATTGATAATTGGTATTATCAACCAATACCAATTATCAACCAATACCAATTTTCACAGAAACGTTAAAGATAAATTAACGAAAGATAAATTAAGACGAAACGTTACTAGGATTTTACGTAGTTTTACGTTTGTGTACTTTTGAATTTACGGCGGTCATAAAAAGCGGGATTTATTATTATTACTAAAATCATCCCCCACCCCGATTTCAGGCCTACGTAAGGTAGGTTAAATTCCGAAATTAGGCTAAGATGTTAACTTTGTAACTTTGGACATGTGTTAATAGCCATGTGTTAATACAGCCAAGCCTGTCCAAATAAGTTCAAGCCTGAATTTGAGGGGGTTAGAGTGAAGATAGGTGAAAGACGTCACGGAACAAAATATACACTATAAAAATTAGTATACGAAACGTTAGTAGGATTTTGTGTAACTTTACGTTTTTTGTAATTTTAAATCAAAATTTATCTTAAAAATCTAGATTATTATTTTTCCCAAAACTATCCCCCGATTTTTAGGGTCAAGTACGGTAGGTAAAAATCCCCAATTAGGCTAATATGTAACTTTGGACATATTAAAATGTACACTATAAAAAGGAGTATACGAAACCATACATGGATTTCATGTAATTTGACGTTTGTGTACTTTTAAATCAAAAGAAATCTTAAAAAATCTAGATTTTTCATTTTTTTAAATCATCCCCCCAATTTGAGAGTTAGTTAGAGAATGTAAAGTGGACATATGTCAAAAGAACTATAAAGTCAAACCTGCTCAAATGGGTTTTTAACCTACTCCGGGGCAGCCAAAACCACCAAAACACAGTAAAATTAGGGCAAAATTGCAAGTTCAAGCCTGATTTTGCGGGTTAAGGGGTTGAGATGGCAAAAAATGTTAAATTACAAAGTTGTTGATCATGAAAAAGTAGTGACTGTACATGCTCTCCGTTTTTCGATCGGACCTACGGTTAAGCCGTAACAGACGTTCGAACGAAGAAATTTGAAGGAAAAATCCCAATATCCGAATAATCGATTGCTACCTAAGGATGAAGGGTTTGAAATAGAAATTTCCCTAGATCTTTAGCTATCATAGAAGTGCCCAAACAGATTTTCCTGTTGCCAAACGCCCATTATTCACCTCCTTACATTTAGGTCTAGTTTGCCTGTCAAAACATGCTAATTCTCCAGGAGGAACTGCGTTAAAAATTATCTTTTTCCTTGAAAATTCACCATTTTAAATTTTTTTCGTAAATTAAAACTATAGAAGGTCACTCTAGTGACTTTCCTTTTAATGTTGGGAGCATAAAAAGTAGAAATATATATACGAAAAGTCGTTTTAAAAATTAAAAACACGTAAAAAAATAGAGGATTTTCACAATTTTTGGAGTTAGAGCGTTTTTTGAAGGTGAAGGAGTGCGAATTTCGATATGACGCCTTCTCAGACAAAACTGTCTTGTAGAAAATTTAATTGCGAACCTACGATTTTTCCTCAAATCGATTCTAGCTCTTACCGTTTTCGAGCTACAGCCGTTTTAAAAAAAACATGTTTTTCCGAAAACCGAAATCTTTATAGATTTTTTTTGGGGGGTAGAATTTTGAAAATAGGGTTTTTACGAATTTCACCGGTAATGTAAGACCCCATAGTACAATACTACGCAAATTCCAAGTCTCTAGCACGTTTCTAAACGGTTCAGATGAGCGTACGAAAATCGGTGTTTTTCAACGTTATTTCCCATAAGAATAACATAGGGGGGAAATTGTTAATTTAGGGGTGGTTGAAAGGGGAAAATGCGACTTTTTCGATTTTTCCCGGTGGTTTGGGCAATAGACCTACAAAACACCGAAAATTTCACGTCTCTAGCTCATCTAGAAGTGCCCAAACATTTGTATACGTTACTAGTTACACATCCGGCTGTATAATATAAGGTTGGGATTCGATGCTAATCGTAAAATTTTTATACTTACCGTTGACATCAAGAACAGTGATGATGACTGTAGTAGAGGAGATATACTTTGAGTCTGTAGCGACAACAGTGAGTGTATAAGAGTCTTTGAACTCTCTGTCCAGTTTTCGCCTCAGATACATAACTCCAGGCTGAGAGTCATCCATTGCCAATCTCATGTCTGGATCTCCCTCGGTTATGTGAAGCTTCAGATGAGAATTCGTATCCTGATCAGAGACACCAAGTCTCACTACTTCACTCCCTTCTTCTAGATCTTCACTCACTGCAATGGCAAGATTAAAAGTTAATATTTATAAATTACTAATAACAATAGTCAAACATTATGGTGATGTGTTGTGGCTCCTCTTTGACTAAAGACAGGACCGGTACTCGTTCCCAACCAGTCATTAGTTTTCTGTACGAACAACAAACATGATGATGGTTTTCTTTGTTGACCTATACATACATATCCTCTCCCGGGCTATCTCTGGGTCTGTGTGTCCTCCATCTTCTTCAGCCATCCAAGAGGCCTCTCCATCTTCTTCTGTCCCTCCACAATGACTCTTCCTCCACATACTGCCACTGCACTCCTCTTGCTTCCAAGTCTCGTCTCACCTCGTCAATCCACCTTCTTCTAGGTCTTCCTCTTCTTGGTCTTCTTCTATTCATGTGAAGCTCAATAATTTTTCTGGGGATTCTATTATTTTCCATTCTTCTACTCATTCTCTCAAACATTCTTCAACTATTCCTCTTCTCAATTCTTCATTTCTAATTCTATCCAATCTTGTTTTCCCTTGAATACCTCTTATAAACTTAATTTCCTCCGCCTGAACCCTACTCCATTCCCTCACTGTTATATCCCAAACTTGCACCATAGGTAACTATCGGAATATAATAAGTTTTATACATGGTTACTTTTGCAGCCTTTGGTATATCATTCCAGACTAGATGTCTGTTGTTAACCTGCGCTTTTAACAAATGGTCTTGGCTAAGAAACAGCTGATCTTAGTCATTAAAAAGCTACATTCATATTCAGCTTGAATTACAGTACACACCAAAAAAAGTGTGAGCTATCTTAAAGAATACAATTGCTTAACTCGCCTGAGACTCTGTACACGTCCTGTGAGAATTCCGGAGGGTTGTCATTGCAATCTACAAGGTCCACAACTAGTGTCACAGAGCTGTTGAGTGAAGGTGAGCCATTGTCCAATGCTACGATGGTGATTTTGAGTGATGGAGACACCTCTCTATCCAACGATTCTGCAGTTGTGACCCATCCAGTGAATGTATCTATGGTCAACAACCCGTCTCCTCCTTCCACCAAGTAGTAGATCTCACTGTTCTTTCCTTCGTCTGCGTCGTCTGCTTCCACTGTAAACAGACAGTTTCACATGTATACATAATCACTAATCAGGTGACTAACGAACACAAACCACATTTAACTGAGTATAGGAAAAAACTTTCGTGGCAGCCAAGCAAGCCAGCTCAAATCTGAAACCAACATTGTATATCTTACTTCATCTACCATTCTAAATGGTTTCCACCCCTCCTATGGGACGATTAGTCTTATCAAAAAAATTTTGAAAGAATATCAAAGCTCCTGCCATGTATGAATCACGTTATGTGAAAAGTTTCTCCAGGAACAGGGTCCACCCTTGTTGATTACGGTTGCCAATTGACAGATGTATATGCAGAAAAGTGGTTTGTTGTATAGAATTTGCTAGTGCTTTAAGGAGTTCGCAGAAGGTGCAGAATGTTTACACAACAGGCCAGAGGCAAGTGATCATCGTTCTCCGTCAAGGTAGTGATTAAATTTGACAACACTTAAGCTCACTGATGCTGATCGTTTGAGACTTTCATTGGTGATTATATTCCTTGATGATATATAGAGACCTCCTCTATTTAATTTGGAAATCCATCTCGTTCAGTTACACTACAAACCCCTTGCAAAATTTTTCTAACCTTGATTAATGTTTTAAACAGACTATTGAACAGAAGCAGTTGGTCAACAACATAAAAAAATCCAATACATTTCCAAAGCTAACTCCGAATTCCCTACACATGTTTTCTACAAACACTTAAGTCATACGTCTGCCAATTGGCGATTGACTTCAATAGTAATTGATGACTGAAACCGCAGAACGCACTTTATACATGGCGGGAGTGTCAATTTTCTTTCACAACATTTAAATTATTTTACAACATTTATCCTCCCATGGAGGTTTAGTAGTAAATCAGATAAGGAAAATGATGTTGGTCTTAAGATTTGAATTTTTGGCTACGAAATGAGCTTCATTGAGACCTTAATTAACGGAAAATCGTTGTATATCTTATACACTTGGTTTAAAAAACATTAATTAAAAAAAACTTACATGTTTCCACTCAAACTTAATGCCGAAAATTGCTCTATTCATAAAAAAGTTGCAAATACACTCTCTCACCCTGTATTACAGAAGTTCCGATTGCGACGTCCTCCGCGAGTGTGGCGTGGTACTTCCTCGAGTGAAAGACAGGCTGGTTGTCGTTTACATCCAGAACGGTTACACTAAGGGAGGTTAACATGTGTAGGCGAGGGTTTTCTTGAGACTGAGCTATAACCCCGACAGAGTAGTGAGAGGTTCGCTCTCGGTCCAGCGGAGAAGAAAGGTAAACGACTCCTGAGTCAGTAACGGAAAAGGGTGAATCTGAGTCTAGTAGCTGGAAGTCAACCAATCCTGCGGAGCTGAGTACTAGGTGTGTAATGTTGTGGCCTAAACAGACCAACTGAGTTAAAAAGACCATAATAATATAGGCCTACTAAATTGTTAAAGCTGTTTTTTAAATTCAATTTTGACCATTATTTTATGGAAAAGTTAAGTACGTTTGAAATCTAAATTTAAAAATGAAAAACTTAACTCATCATTATAATATTTCACCTATTCTTGCGTTTTCAGCTACAACGAAGGCCTCGTCAGTCCGCTGAAAGATAGGAGGTTCGTCTGAGGACTCCATTATGTATACACTGACGGGAACATCTGCGTGAAGTGGTGGACTGCCTTTATCTGTCGCTCGTACCGTAAACTCAAACAAACGGCCTTCTGCAAAGAGAATTTTCTGAAAGTTAAATAGCCTAAACACGTTCTATAGAATTGGTTTTTGGTGAAGATAGCAGGTCTTTCTGAATGAGATAGAGCCCAAACTGTCACAAGAAACATGAAGTTTTACACTGCACACAAAACATTTCACTGTCACAGACAGAATTTTCAACAAAGGAAGGTACGAGTTGAAGATGGAGTTTTCTTCAGGTCTCTGATGACAGATTCTCTGCCTGAGTTTTCTTCAGACGCCTGAAGAAAGCTTCTCCTCAACTCATACCCTCATTAGTTGAAAATGCTGTCTGTGACAGTGAAATATTCTAACATTTTTAATAATGTGAATAGTTTTGTGTTTTGTGCCAGTATGGACTCTCCCCCATTCAGACAAGATGGAAAATGGACACAGTATAATGGACACAAACACAATCCTAAGTAAAATTATTCAACAGGTTAGGCTTACTACACGGCTGCATGTTTTTGCAATAGCAAAATTGAAACAGTACGGAGTTTTAAGAAGTTATCTTTACATGGAAAGTATTTTTGATTTTGTAACATAGTTTGATCAAACGGTGCAATATGACAAAAAATTTAGTTCATGTCATGGGCAATCTCTTTTCAAACCTCGTCCATTTTACGTCTCGGTAGTTAAACTTGAGCTTGCGGTGACATGAGTCACTTTACGCCCTAGTGATGAAATGTTATGGATTCTCACCTAACGTAAAAGCAGACTGACGAAGGTAGAGAGCTCCGCTGACCGGGTGGATGGAGAATATCTTCTGAAGATCTCTATGTATTGTGTAAACTATTTGGGCTGCAGGGCCTTGGTCTGGGTCCATGGCTCTCACCTACAACAAATATAAGTTTAATTGTGTGAGATGTATAGATGTGTTTATTGAACATTATAAACGGTATCAGCAATCTGACACTTACTCTCCTATTAGCTCCTCGACAACTCTTTATCATGTATAAGCGGTGAGTGTACCTATGATTTTGTAGCAAAAATTACAAAAGTTGCAGTTCCTTTTGAACCATATTTTTTACAGAGATTGGAGTTATAATTTTAATTTTTTCTACAGTTAAAAAGAACATGCTGAGATTTAACCAAAATCATCCAAGCCGTTCCTGTAAAAAACTGATTTTTGCATTGTTTAAAGGATTTTTATGAGAAAATCACCATTAAAAATCAAAATTTCATAAAAAATGAAAGAAATTGTCTGGAAATAGCATAGATAATAGTACCCGTGTACTAAATTTCATAAAAGTCAGACTACAGGTGTGGTCCGTAGCTCTGTACATCCCCCCCCCCACACATACAAACATACAGAAACATCACTTAAAAACCACTTTTTTGGTTAAGGGACCCAAAACGGACATTTCTACCCCAAAACTCAAACTCCAAAAAACATTACTTTCTTCATACACTAAAGTAAAAGTAAAATATGTTTCTAATACTAGCTTTTTTGGTAGACACAAATCAATGAACAAGCGATAGATAGTACATTACTATATGTTTTTTTTTTCATTTAAAGCATGATGATGGGCAAAGATTTTACTGTAAAAAAATATAAATTACACTTAAGTAATCTGGGCATAAACAAAATGTAATTAATTTAACTATGTTGTCTAGTTAGATAGGTACCTTATCCCCTTAGTGACTATAATTAAAACTGACAAACCTTAAGAAAGGAAGAGTCGGTGGTAAGGTTACTAGGGACGCAGACAGTGTAACGCTTCAGAGTAAACATTGGTGGATTGTCGTTAACATCGGAAATGGCGAGTCTAACAGAGGTGAATCCAGAATTCCCAGTGTCGTCCGTAGCCATCACAAGAATGTCATAAAACGCACAAGTCTCACGATCCAGAGGTTGACGGCTCCTCAGCATACCTGGGAAAATATAAGTGGAAGATAAAGAAGATTATTCTATTTAACATTGAATCTATCTTTGAACAGTATTGCTTTACAATAAAAAAATCAGTCATGTTAAGTTTTTAGGGGAGTTGAAAACAATGGGATGTACAATTTTTTACGTCTAATCATTGGCTATTGGATTCTGAAGTTGTATTAATAGTCAAAGGTCTAATGGTGACAAAAACAGGTTTTAACTATCCCATACTAAATTTAAATTATACCGTCTTGACTTTAGTTTTTCATGTGGCATTTTGAAATTCATCAATGCAATACAGAAAAGGAGTTTAAATCAAAATCTTAAAATTGACACTGTTTCAATTTTCTTCAGGGAGTTTGGTGGGTAGCTCTCTAGATAAAATTGTGCAAAATTCAAGTTTTCAGTAGGTTTCTCTAGAACCCTACTGAAGTATGTAACATATGGCACAAGGGCTAGGTTTATGGACGTTTTGTAAGGATAGCAGGCTTACCATAATGGGAAAGAATCCAAACTGGCACAAGATACACAAACCTTATATACTAAAAACATTAGGATATTTTACTTTCACTGAGAGCACTTCTAGGAACTATTTTTGTTGGAAATGGTGTCAATAATGTGGTCTTACCACACCTAATAAGCCTGCTATCCTCACAAAAAGATACAAAATTTTGTTACATATTCTACTTGTTATTATCTCATTGTTACATATTTCACAGATATTACTTTTCACAAGTCTCAGGTATTACTATTACAATTTACCTGTGTAAGGATCAATACTGACAAACTCTGTATATTTCTCTGAGGGCAGAGAATATGTGAGTTCGCTTTGGGTTTCTATCTCTCGCTCCGTCCCAGCGTGATGATCTTCGGCGGTGACCAACAGCAAGAAACTTGGCTCTGGCATGTTTTCTGGCAGTGTTACCTGCCAAACATATGACGACTTTAATTTTTAAGTAACCTAAGACATTAATTTGTAGAATTATTTTAACCGAAGACTTTAGTTAAAATTGTATATTTTAGTATGCACCATTGAATTAAACATTTTATAGGACGTTAGGGTCTAGCCAAAAATTATTTCACATATTTCTTCAGCCTATTTGTAGTCGATTAAGGCATAAATCACATAGATAAAATCAATCGGTGATTGGGGTGATTTGAGCCCAGAATTTCAGTACTGACGCACTGCTCACTCCCCCTAGTAAACCATATACTGGCAAGCTCAACTTCCATACCCTCTACTTCTGAAGAAGCCTCTGAAAGAGGCGAAATATAAAGTCTATTGTGTATGTAATTTATTTGTGCTGAGACTCGTCTGCAAACTTTCTTCAGGTAAAATAGCTGTGTCTACTCCATCCTTTAATTTTTCAATCCAAATGCTTTTTTCCTAAAGATATATTATAATTACCAATATATTAAAACTATTAGTGGCGGTTTCAAGGGGGGTTTTAGGGCCCCTCCATTGGATCCTGGAAAATTAAATTCAAACATACATTTTGTCCTGAAAATGTAACAGAGGTTTTTGGAGGTTTTTTCTAGACGTTGAAAATGGCTTTAGAAAGTTATTAAATGCTTTAAAAATACAAAATTTTCTAGCCTCTCTGGGGCCACCTATTTTTTGTGAGGTGTGGGACACCCTCGGTACCCCCCCCTTTGACAGTGTCCTAAAACTGTCACTGTTGACTATGTTAATTATAATCTGAATGTTGAGCTTCCCTAGTTCAGTTGTAAACTCCCCATTGCTTTTACCTCGTAATGGTCTGACTGGAACACAGGAGGACGATGGTCGGCCACTAGCAGTTCTATTACCATCGTGCAATAACTTGTGTGGACTCCGTCACTCACAGAAACGTTCAGTTCCAATGGTACACCACTAGGGAATCTGTGTAGCTTCATCACCCTCAATATGCCTGAAAAAAATTAGTAGAGCATTTTACATTTTAGTAGTCAATTTTTATTTTTTTTATTAGTAGACACCTCAGATTTTACACCTTCAAGTGGTCTCTTCCAGTTTTAGACTCGTCTTAGCAGTTGGATTATTTGATTTTCATTCTTCCAGGTGCTACCCTGGAATTTTGAAACATTACTTCAGCTAAGTTTAGAGGAAAAAACATTATCACTTAGACAAAATCCATTAATTGGCAGGATTTGAACTCAGGACCAAAGTCCTGTGCTCTACCACTAGACCAGCTCACTTCCCACTTGTTATGTAGTATAAATTAAAATTGCATTACTACCCCCATGGCTGGGGAGTTGGGGAGCGAGCTGGAGTAGTGGTTAGAGCGCGGAACTTCAGTCCCAGAGGTCCCGGGTTCGATCCCCGCCAAGTTACCAATGGATTTGATCCAAGTGATAATGCCGCAACCCCTAGGTCTAGCCTGAAGTAATGTGAAAAACAATCCCAGGCTCGTGCCTAGTGTCCTAGGACACAAAAAAAAAACTACCCCCATGGCTGAACGAATTTCAAACATTCCATTTTACCATTTCCCCTTGTGGAAATCCATACCTGTTTCAGGATCCATGACAAAGGTGTGGTGAAGGCTTCTTGACACTAGGTTGTACTGCAGCTTGTCCAAGTCCGGGTCTACGGCCAACACTCGACCAACGAACTGACCTCTCACAATCTCCGAGGATAGCTGAGCCACGAAGATAGAGCGGATGAACTGCGGCGGATTGTCATTGGAATCATCCACTGTAACATCAAGTAAACATGAGCTTTACAAATACAGAAAATATATAACAAATAATCACTATCCTTCAAGTATATTCTAGAACACTTTAAATTGTCAAACTTTAATACTAAACTTTAGCTTGTGATCGATACAACTATAGCATGTAGAACATCTTAAATTGAAAATAATTAATATGTCTAATGTATAGATGTATACTAATCTTTTGTAGATACCATGAAAATATATATTTTAATAAATAAATACCCTACTCAAGAGGTACTAAAAAAAGTTATGTTTCTACTCAAATGAAAGCCTGTGCAAGAACAATATTAGCTATTCTGTCGTTACCTGTGACTAGAACGTTCACGGATGTAGAGAGATTCGGTACTCCAGTGTCCGTAGCAATAACCTCTAGACGATGTTCACTCCACAGTTCACGGTCGAGGCTCTTGCGGAGAAAAATAGATCCATCCTCTGGCTCCACAATGAACGGTTCCGCTTCACTGGTGTTGCGAAGTGAATACCTTACAACTCCTCCGACACCTGGTTAAAATAGATAGATAAACATACTATTTATTAGTAATTTCTTCAAGAAATGCATTAGCATCAAAATACATTACATATAAAAGTTGTTGTTCTTGCTTTACAATTTTCAATAATCTTCTTGGGTTGAAAATTCCTTGATCGAGTACAATCATCAATTGACTTATTGATTTACGAGCCAGTTCCAAAGTTCCTTTTTCGGTTTTTTCTTAATAGGTTCGTAACAGTGCAGTGGGAAGGAATTTTTAATTTTTCAGCCAATATCATAAAACATAAATGTTTTAGGGTATGATACATTTCAATGGTTGAATTGCCCAAGACCCTTACCTACGTTTAATTACTATATTCCAAAATATCGAGACAATTTATAAAAATACTGCGATTTTACTTAACAGACCTGTGTCCTTATCAAGAGCTGTGATCTTGATGACAAACGAGCCAGCGGCCTCAGACTCTGACACCGTTTTGTGGTACATGTTGACAGGGAACTCTGGGAAGCAGTCGTTGACGTCAATCACCTTCACTTTGATCAGAGTCTCCGCCGAGACGCCAGAGTGAAGATCGGTCGCTCTCACTGTCAAACTGTGTTGTTGAGCATCCTCGAAGTCCAGCTGGTCAATGACTCTCAGCACGCCTGTTAAAAGAATGGATAATACTGAAAACATTAGAGTCTTAGTTGGATGAAAATCACTACATCCTAGGACGCTAGGTTCTAGCCTGGAACTGTTTTACACATTACTTCAGTCTGGTCCAAAAGTGTTACATCATTATCACATGATACAATTTATTGGTGATTGGCAGGATTTGAACCAGGGAGCTCGGGGCTTCTACTAGACCATACAAGCCTAGTCTATGGGAATGTGCTGAGATAGCATCCTAATTTATAGTTTCGTACAAGTGGCATCCCCCTAATAAATTTAAATCTGGGAACCTCATACACTGCTGTGAACTTATTTGCTTTTGTGATTCAATCGTTACTTAATCGTGAGAAGATGGAAAGAAGTAAAACTATGAACATCAATGAATTTCCTATACCTACAATTAAAGAATTGTTCCTCTTTATTTATGATGCAAGACTTGTAGCTTTCAGTAAATATTGTACTTCCTTACGCTTTCAATCCTATTTCCTGAAGCGGATTGGGGTGCGAGAAGGAAGGTTAATTGTTGGGGACAAAAGGGGATTTAGTGATGATAAGATGGGTAATAACGAATGGGCTTGGGAATTGCTATGCCTGCCCCTAACTTAAGCGTGCTTAATCTGCTACCAATAATTTTGCTAAAATGGAAGAGTTGGTGGGTACGAAAAGAGACGGAGACCTTTTACCCGGCTTTCTGGTCTAGAAAGCTCGCCTAGGCAGCTTTTATTTATACTAATTGAACAATTACCTTAAAAATATCCTTCCAAACACTAGACAACTGAAAGTGGTAATTGGTTTCTAAAATGACCGAGTGAATGAATATTGGTTGGAATTGAATTTACTGAATCGGAAATATCTATGATTTTAACAGAAAAACTGTGGAAATCAATCTAGGGACATGAGGTAAAATTTACCAGAGTTAAAGTCGATAGAGAACATCTCGTACTCGTTGCCCGCTACGATGGTGTAGTACAGCTTCATGCCATAGGGAGTGTGAGTGTGCAGAGTTAGTGGCAGGACGGAGTAAGGCGCGACATCCTCCGCTACGGAGGTAGAGTAGAACTGCTTCTCAAACAGCGGGAGAGAACGATCCACAATGGTGAGATGTACCCACACCTCGGTTGAACACGGAGTCATGCCTGTCACAGGTAATTCGTTTTACTAAAATAGAATATTATTAACTGAACTTTAACCAAGTGTTTACATAAATAATTTTATTACATAACGGTTGAAACCAGAAATTTTGAAACTCAAAACCGAAACTGACACTTAAATCAGATCTCAACTCTGCAATCCTAACTGAACTCTGACATAATAATCTGAATATGTGTCTAAATACACTTATACCCAAAAAACATTTTCATCAACCCAAAACAAAAACTACTATAACTCTTGAAACTGACGAAGTTGGCTGTTTCAGTTTTGGATCTTAAATTAGAACCTTTTCTAAAGTTTTGATGCTTTTGAGATTTGAGATTCGGTGTGACTCACCATTAAAATTGTTTCATTTAATGTATGTCACTAACATTAATCTCAATTAAAATTTGCAATATCATAGGAGTGATACAATCTTCCGGTACAAGATCTGATGGAAAATATATTTCAGACAAATATAATCAATTAATAACTAACTTATTAAACTAACTTACAAACTAACTTTCGTCAAGTAACTAGAGTTAAAACTGTGAACCTTCTCACCTCCGTCATACGCTGCAATGCTGAGCTGATACTCCCTCACTTGTGATTCGAGCGCTTGTTTCAGCACAACTTCACCAGTTTTGCGGCTGACACGAAACAATTCTCCGTGGCCTCTCATCAACTCATAGCGAACTTCTCCGTTCTCTCCTGCGTCCAGGTCAAGTGCGTGAACCTACCAATAACAATAGTTGTTTACAGAAGTTGTGGAACTATTTCATCACTGTTTTTTTGCCATGTAAGATGGAACACTTACTCCGGCCTGAGAAAGGGGTCGGATTTCTGATCCTGAAACGTTGTGGAAACTTTGTTTTCTACTAATTGAAATAGAAAGTGTCTAAAATAATCCAATGATATAACAGCTATCTTCCTGCCTCCGAAAGACACAATCCTACTTACAATTAATTAAAAACTATGTTAGTCTTAATTCCATGCCATAATGTTTCCTCTACAAAATGATTTATACCCGCCTACTACGTGTAGATTTCTTATGTAGAAGCTGTGTCCGATTTTCAAAATACAGTTTAGCCGAGCGTGAAGAGATGCAAACATGTCTCCAAAAGGAAATAGGATTGAAAACGTAATATAAATATTTACTTGGTGCTACAAGTCTTGCATCATAAAAAGATGAAAAAGTCTTTAATTTATTTATTCCCGTATTAAAATTAATTGTTGTTCATAGTTCTGCTTCTTTCTATCTTCTCACGATTAAGTAACGATTGAATCATAAAACCAAACTTTTCAATTACTTTACTAAAGTCCAAAGAGGATATTAAGAGAGACACTGACGGACAGGAATTCAAATACCTTGATAGAATAAGTCTACAGCATGTATATCAAGTTCCCGGGTTTAAGTTTATTAGGAGAAAGCTCCTCGTAAGAAACTAGAAATTAGGGTATCTCAGCGCATTCCCATAGACTAGGCTTGTATGAAAGAGCGGATATCACATAAATTCAACAAATCATGTCCCTTATTCACAAAATCTAGGACATAGTAAAATATTTTGTTTAAAGGTCCTAAATGTGTTTACCGGTATGCATTCTTGAAAGTTAAATTTAAAAAACTGCATATTTATGTGATTTTGTGTTATTTATAACACCATAAATACCTCCTTTTTCCTGGCCGTCCCCTGTCCCTATTCACATTTTTGTCTTTTAGACCTGTATAAAAACCACTTACTGCTTACTAAAGCTTTCCAAATGGAATATAAATTGGTCCAAAAACATTGTACTGTAGATTACTTTTTAGAATGAATCTTGCCAAGTTTCTATCCTACTTGTCGGGTGTGTCAGTAAAAAGTATGTCCCGGCAGTTTTTGTTCCAGGCCGTCCCGGCAACTGTTTTAGTCCACAAAATGACTGTAGGGCAGTGCTAGTTACCACTCAAGATTTATTTCGGTAGAGAAGGTCGCCATCTTGACTCTATGTGGTTAAAATAATTGTTTCACGTATAGTTTATGTTTCCACATGAAGTTAAGTTTACAAAAAGGTAAGCGTGATTTTATTACAATCCAGACCGTCCTGTAAGTTTTTTTTAGTACAAGTAACAATTGTGTGTCTCTTTGTACATATTATCGACGGTAATGCATCACTTTTAAGTAAAATCCTCGCAACCGGCGTTTTCTTTGAGGTTAGCGAAAGTTTTGATCAAAAACAATGTTTCAATCTCAGGCCGTCCCTATCCAGGCCGTCCCTTAAGAATCAAACCTTGTTAGGGACGGCCTGGAATGAATTAGTAATAATACACTTTTTTCTTTTAAAACATATATTTTGTTTATCATTTTACCTATAATTAAAGCTCAAAACTAAAAATTATGCTCATCCTTCATATTTATACTCCAAATTGATCATGTTTCCAGGCTGTCCCCTTCAATTCCTGACCGTCCCCCTAACAATTATCAAAAATTTAAAAATTTTAAAGCAACTTAGGTACGAAACACATTTTTTTAAATATTGTACTGCATGTAGGAATACTAATAAAGTTCAATTATATAACTTTTTCCTTCAAATTGACAAAAAAAGATAAGTTTTTATCAATTTTAGCTGGGACACAGTCTTAGTGGGCTGGTACATATAGTTTTACTTTATATTTTATAATTTTCAAGTTGATACAATTTCAAACTGGACCAAAAGTAGTATTTAAAATGTTTTAGGGAGAGAATATCCTTAACATAATATCTTGGGAGCAACTAAGTTAGCTGGGGACGGCCTGGAATAATTTGTGTGCGTTTCTTTCCTTATTGATTTTTTTAGCTTATCCATCAACATGTCCTGCGCTGCTCATGTTATTTTGTAAAAGTATGGTAAATTACCTTTCCAAAAATGTGTATAAAGCCATAGTTAGAAAAAAAAAATATTTTCTGATTTTTTATTTCTCAAAATGTTGCATTATGTGATATCCGCTCGAAAATTAATTACTTATGCTGACCGTAAATATTTAAAACTGTAAGCCTGATTTATTTTTTTTTTTTTATAATTTGTTTGAAAAACCTTATTTAAGCTCTACCTGTTTTTATCACCTGTACATATTGTGTCAAATTATTGTTTATTTTTGTGCTTCATGTTAAGTTTTAGATTTAACTTTTACCACCATTCCCAATGTACCTGATGTACGAAATAAAGATGATTTGACTTGATTTGATTTTACCAAACCTGGCACATGCCTTTGTGATAACATCTCCCTTGGCAGAGTCGACAGGCACGGTGGCGTAGTAAGGCACCCCGAGGAACACTGGGCAATTGTCGTTAATGTCCAACACTGACACCGTCACTAGAGTCTGGGCCACTCGGACTTCCTCACTCTCGGCTTCACTGCGGGCCTGGACATAACAACAACAGAAACTTTAAATACTAGGTAAAAAAGGTACAGGAACGTTTCTATTCTCTAAAGGTGCCAGCAGTTTTTTTTACTTTCTCCCCCTTTACATCGTTTATGGAGATATTATTGTTTTTGTAAACATTTTTAAATTTTAGTTTTGAAAGGAAACTCAAACACCTTACAAAATTATTTGTTACGTTGAAATACGTTTCACAAAAGGAAATTACCTGAACAATCAGCTGATACATATCCTCTTCCTCTCGGTCGAACCGTGTTCCTGTTGTGCGTATGGCTCCAGATGTCAGTCCTATGTGGAACAACGGCGAAGGATTGAGGATGGAGAAGAGGATATATTCGTTGAGTTCTGCACCGACTACGGTGGCTACTGTGACTGTGACTACCTTCGTGGTGTTCTCTACCACTGCGGCTTCATATACTTGCTGGGAGAAGTGCAGTGAGGACTCTGATCCCCACCTCCAATGTATGTTCACATACCTACGTTTACAAACTGTTAGTTACGATCCCGCTGACAGTTTGATGATATTCAATTCAATTCAATTCAAATATCTTTATTCATTTTTATGTACATTGTACAATAAATAGTGTCAAAATAATTACAATAAAAATAGTGTCAAAATAGTTCAACAGGATAAAAAAACAGCAAAACATGAGGAATGGTTATAAAAACAACAAATACATTTTACAAATCTAGTAAGATAATTTATCATAGCGACTGAGGGAGGTGAAAAAAATCGTCAAAAGAATAAATTGCTAAATTTATTAAAAACTCTTTCAACATTTTTTTAAATTTGTTTGGATCTGTTTCTTTTTTAATATTTTTTGGAATAAATTTAAAAAATCTATTACCTGCATAGGATGGTTTCTTTTCAAAAAAATTAGTCCTATGTGGTTGTACATTTTCGTTCTTATTTCTTAAATTATAAGAATGGGTTTTTTCTTTTGGTTCCGAATATACTTTTTGTTTTTTTGCAATTATTATTGATTCATATATATACTGCCCGTAAACAGTAAAGATTTTTAGGTCCTTAAAATGCTCTTTAGCTGACTCATCACGCTGCAGCTTAAGCATGATTCTAACCGCTCTTTTTTCTCCTTTAAAATGCTATCTAGATTACATATTTTTGTTGAGCCGTAGAGTGCTATGCCAAACGTGATATGTGAATGCACATGTGCAAAATATATATTTTTTAAAGTTTTTAAATCACAGTAAAAAGACATACTTGATAAAGCATGAATTCCGGAATTAATTTTACTTAAAATTTTGTGGACATGTTTATCCCAATTCAAGTGCTGATCTAGTGTTAAACCCAAAAAATTTGTACTAATTTCTTCATCAATATTTTGTAAGTTATAGCTTATTGTTATTGGCTCCTTCTGTCTATTTTGTGTTGTCTTAAAATTTATAAATTTAGTTTTTTGTAAATTCATCATCAAGTTGTGGTTATTAAGAAAATTTCCAATACTTTCCAATTCTACATAAGCGAACATTTCTGTTTGCTCTATTGAGTTGGATGATATCACCAAATTCGAGTCATCAGCATACAGACATAGTGTTGAATTTTTATTATATATTAAAGAATCTTTCATTCCACATAGATAGCACAAAAAAAGCAGGGGCCCTAATATTGAGCCTTGTGGCACTCCGAAAACTATTGGCTTATAAGTTGAGCATGATTTAATAATTCTATTGTAATTTGTCAAGTGAGTTATTTCTACGTATTGAGATCTTTCAGTGAGATATGACGTAAACCAATTAAGAGTTCGTTTTGCTACTCCTAGTCTTTGAAGTTTTTCAAGTAGAGTAGAATGCCTAACACTGTCGAATGCCATAGATAGGTCCATAAAAATACCAGTTGTACATTTTCCCTTGTCAACCGACTCAATTACAGTTTCAATAAAAGATACAGCAGCACTCACAACCGATCTTCCATTCCGAAATCCATGCTGGTTATCATCTAAAAGATTAAATTGTTATAAAAATTTGGGAAATTGAATGTATACTGCTTTTTCATATATCTTAGAAATAGCAGGGAGCACAGATATTGGTCGATAGTTAGATACATTTGTCAAGTTATTTTTCTTATGTAAAGGTATTATTTTAGCTTGTTTTAATTTCCTTGGAAAAATCCCAGACACAAAAGAGGAATTTATAAGTGGCATAGAATGTTACTAATGTTCCCTTTTACAGCCTTAATTATTAATATAAATTCATCAATTTTATGTGTAGTTTTGAAGAAGTAGAAGAAAGTTAGTTGAGAATTTATATACAATAGATCTCCAAAAATCCGCGCTCCAAATATCCAAATCGCTTACAGAAAGTACTTATAGACATCATCATCATCTCCTGCAGCCATGGGAATACCATTGCCGTCTCCCACGGTCAATGAAACTCATCATTGTCCTCCGCAATCCTGTCAAAGGAAGCGTGAATTTTTCTATCGTGAAATCTTTGCAGATACATTCTGCGGTAACAATAGTAAAAGCTGGGGCTTGACTCGGCCTATTTTCTGCAAACAACCCCGAATGTGGTGCAGTCCCAATTTATTTGGATTCAAGTTCTACTGTAATGCAAATAGAGGCGTGTCTGAAAAAACTATTCGTTACAGTTATTACAATCCACTTAAAACTGCATAAGGAGTTCTTTTCTAAAATTTTATTTGACTCACGCAAACGATGTGTGCACTCCATCGGAAACAGCGATCTTGAGTCTGTGAGGTGATTTGTGCCTCCCTCTTGTCTTATTTCTGAGAGATATAACGCCAGATGTTGACATCTCATACATATTCTCGTAGTTACCACTGACGATAGAATACTCAAGTTTTGTAACATCAGACGAGTCTTTATCAGTCGCTGCCACCTGTGAAAATATTCACTAATTACCATAGTTTATATTACTTATTTGTTTAAAATACTGTTACTTGAAGTTGACAGAATCTTAAAACCTGCAAATTCCCTCAGTGCCAAAAAAAATCCACAAAATTATATACTGTACTGTACTTTTCAAAGTTTTTAAAGGGCAAGATCTTAGTTCATTTGACTGTATTTAACGAGGGTTATCCGTTAATCAGTGTCGTCAAAGAGCTCCAGAAGCGACCAAGCAAGCCAGTTCAAATCTCTCACCAGCGCATTGTTCTTTGACTCCCTTACTTTTCTAGCCAGTCATTGTTGAAATGAGCTGTTGAACATTGATTTAAAAGGTATGGTCAAGTTGAGGGGATAGATTTCTTCTCCTGAAACTACCTAAATTTGTAAACCAAGTATAAACTTGACCAGGCAACTTAAAGTTCTGCGTTTGGCTTTTCGAGAATCAGGATTCAATTTTTCAGTTTTTTCTTTTGTTTTGAGATACAAAGTTTCTGGTTTTGACCATCCCTACGAGGAGTCTATTTTGACATTACCTGTATGATCGTCACATTGCTGTAGGTAGGCAGTAGAAGTGTGATGCTGTACTCATTACTGGTGAAGGTTGGTGGGCAATCATTCACATCGTCTATCTTGACGAGGACAGTAGCGATGTCACGGGCCCACAAAGGAGGAATACCTCTGTCTTTGACTGCCACTCGAAAACTTATGTCTCGAAGAGTCTCATAGTCCAGGCTCTGTAGTGTCCTCAACGCTCCTAAAAGTTTTTTATTTGTCAAAACATTTCTTTAGAAATTAAATTTGTAGAAAAAAAAATTATAACAAAAATTAAAAATTGTTTATTAAATCTAAAAAAATTTCAATTTAAAGAAAACTAGACAAAAACCACTAAATCTTTAAAATTAACGATTTACATTTAAACAAATCTAAAAGTAATATTAACAAATGCAAAGTACATTTTTGTTATGTATCTTTAAAAGGAGTATAATTTTATAATACACTTCTTGGCTCAAAGTCTCTTTTAGTTTACATGTAATATTTGATTTTAATACAGTTCTATACGAATTAGGTAAATGTTCTAGATATTAATCCCATGTAGAGGTCCAGTTTCAAATTTTGTGTTAGAATTGGTATATTGCACATTTTGGTCATTAATTTGTTTGGATAGCTATACTTAATTTATTTGATTAAAAATATATATATAAATCATTATACCTGTTGAAGAGTCGATGAAGAAAAGTCTACGAGAAGTGATATCGAGTATCTCGTACTGCAGCAATGTCGAGTCTTTGTCCTCGGCTCGCAGAACTAGAGGTTTTCCCATGTCGGAGATTACAGGAGATCCAGGGACAGCATTCTCGGAAATATGGCCTCGGTACTCGGTAGCTGAGAACTCTGGGGGAAAATCATTGCAGTCTTCTACGTCTACCAGCAGCGAAGCTAGAGACTGAACTCCCGCCTGTTCTCAAAACATCACAAACTACGGGTAATGAAATGTGAAGAAGAAAATTTGAACAAGGATGACTAGTATCACAATAGATTTGTCATACTTATAGATCAACTGACGACAAATTTTATGATAGTTTTGTTTACATAGTTTCTTGTTATTTTAGTTTTTCAAAACTAATGTAGTCTCGGACAACTAGTTTTGATACAATAGTTTTATTTTCAAGCCTCTTGTCTTCTTACATACATTTATTTGACCACATTGTCGTCAATGTTGTATTGTTCAAAGCTTTAATCTAAGTCGCCCAGGATTAAATTAGAATTGACGATGGAAGTATCCCAGATAGCACATAAGCTTACGACAACCTTGTCATACCATTTACGTATCATTTACACGGATAACCTTATCCTTTAACCTTGACTAAAGGATAAATAAAGGGTATCAAAGACTATGTAAAAGACATTTACACTGTCATAAATCAATACTGGAGGCAACGCTGAATAAAACAACATTATGAGCTGTTTTGAGTATTTAATTTAATGTCATTTAATTCACTCACCAGGTTGGTTGCAGATATTGTCAAGTTGTATTCAGCACATTTCTCGTAATCCAACTTCTGTTTGATTGTCACCACCCCAGTGATGGGGTTGATGAAGAACTGTTCTTGTGAGTTTCCAGCCACAATATGGTAAGTGATGGAAAGGGAAGACCTGGCCTGGGCTTGCCACAAAACTCTTCCTACAGGAGTGTCTTCAGGCACTTCCACAACGCTGAGAATATTCTGGAACCTAGCAACATAGCGCTACATTCACTATGTGGGGAGGAGAGTAACGCATTAAGTATATGAATTCCCCAGTGCATAAAACATTTTAACATAAATATCTACTCAGATTCTTCTTTGTTTGCCACTAATATTTTTCCTCACACATAGAGCTGGAAGTGCACGGTTGTACCATAAGCAAGTTTCCTATGTTTCACTGAGGTTGGAGTGATTTATTTACCTAGGAGGAGCGTGATCGGACTGAGTGACCGTGATGAATACAGGAAGTGTTGATGCCAACGGAGGCTCTCCACCATCTACAGCCCGAACCATCAAGTTGAACTCTGATGTCGCTTCTATGTCTAACTGTCGAGCTATGAGGATATCTCCCAGCACTGGGTCCACAGTAAAGAAGTTGCCAATGTTACCTGGAAAATAATAGGTGGTTATCTTCAAACTATATTACAACATTAACCCTTTAAACTTCATGATTACCAGTGATTCAGTGATAATGGGCTGTGCCTACCAGTGGCGGATCCAGGGGGGGGGCGAAGGGGGCGGTCGCCCCCCCCTCGGGGTTTTTTTTTTTTTTTTTTTTTTTTTTACAACGGTACAATATACACATTGCGTATAATCATTTGTCTATGTCACACTAAATTCCTCGTCATCTATTTAGGGAATTACAAGTAGAGGATAGTTTACAAAACTACGTTTAAGGTAACTGAAGCTATGAATTCAGAATGGTAAATAATGAGAGTAGGGATTCCACTTTCGCAATCGCAACGCCTGACAGTTGGCTGCACTGGCCAACCTCTCCCCCCACACCCCGCAGCCCGTACGTCACGCCCTCTCTACTCCTACTGCCTGACGGCTTGACTCCCGCTCTTTTTACCCGCGAAATGTTACTGTTGTCCGTTGTCGTAGTACTCGTAGTGACGTAGTGTTCTAGTGTCAAGTGATCTGTGTAAGTGTGTAGTTTTGTATGTGCTAAACACTCGTTTGTATGCATGAATTAAGCAATGGATAGGTATATTGTAAAACGAAGACGAGTGGAAGAAGGGAACCGAGCTACAGAAGAAAATGTATCTGTACCTGTAGAGCCTCAACCTTGTAGCAGCACTGAAGGTAATATAGCCATAGATGTAGCTGCTACACAAAATGAGGTTAGGTCACTTACCTGTGAGTCTAGCCTCTCACGTGATGTTGGTACCTACGTGGGGCGTATGTCATGTCTTGATGACCACACAAAATATCAAATTTTGACCAATCATTATATGCCCCCGAAAGACTACATTTTCCCGTCGAGTGTCCATTTGAAAAAAGGGCGTGAAGAACATAGACGGGTGAATAATAGCCATTTTCAAAAATACCCTTGGTTAGTTTTTTCCGAAAATAAACAAGGTCTCTTCTGCAAATATTGTGCAGTTTTTTGCTATCAAACTTTAGCTGGGGGAAGAAAAACAGTCCAGCTTAAAAAGTTGGTCACAGAACCCCTTAACAAGTATGCTAAACTAACAGGGAAAGATGGCGATTTAGACACACATGCATCATCAAGCTATCACCATTTAGCAGAACAAGATGCTCAGGCATTTAAATCTATGCATGAAAATCCACAAAATGAGGTAATAAATCTATTGGACGAAACACGGAAAAGACAAGTGACTGAAAATAGGTCTCGTTTAGTCCCTATTATAAAAACGATAGTCCTACATGGCAAACAAAACATTCCCCTCAGGGGTCATCGAGACGACGGAAGTCTCTCTGAGTTGAATGAAGACCCAGTAACTAATGAAGGCAATTTTAAAGCTTTATTGCGATTTCGGGTGGATAGCGGGGACAAAGACCTAGAAAATCATTTAAAGACATCTAAATCAAACGCAACCTACATAAGCAAAACAACTGCGAATGAAATAATAAGAATCTGTGGTGAAGAAATAGTAACAGAAATAACGAAAAGAGTGAATGACGTCAAATATTATAGTATAATTTTTGACGAGACGACTGATGTATCTCACTCATCGCAGTTGACTTTAGCATTGCGATACATATATAAAGGAAGTGTTAGAGAAGATTTCGTGGGATTCATTGATGTGCATAAATCAAATTTCAATGAGTCAGATGTAGAGGTAGAACCTATTGTTACTGGTGAGGTTCTGGGGAAAACGGTTCTGGAATTCATGAAAAAACTTGACCTAAATCTTAAGTACTGTGTTGGTATAGGCTGCGATGGTTGCAGCGTCAATATTTCTACAATTAAAGGCGCTGTAACTGAAATTAAAAAAGAAGTATCCTACAGTACACTCTGTATTTGCCAGAACCACGCTCTTAACCTAGCGCTGTCAAAATCAAGCAAAGTGCAAGGTGTTAGGAATGCATTGGGGACAATAAAAGAAGTGGTTGGGTTCTTCAACGCGTCGGCAAAAAGAAACCACATTCTCAAAAATGTGGTAGGCCATCAGCTGAAAAACTATTGCGAAACCAGATGGGTCGAGCGGCATGAGGCTGTTTTGGCATTTCTAGAGGACCTTCCAAACATAAAAAAGGCTTTAGAAACTATTTCAAGATGGGAAGATGCCTCAACCGCTTGCAAAGCAAATACGTTATTACACAGTATTTCAAACTGCGAGTTTGTAATTGTCATATATAGCTTGAGTGACATATTGTCTTCAACTGTCATCCTCAGTAAATACCTCCAAGAACAAAACATAGACATAGCTCATGCCAAAGAAAAAGTCAACCAAGCTGTAAATACGTTAAAAAACAAACGTGACAAGTCAGATGAATTTTTTTCATTAGTTTTTGGGCAAGCCGAAAAAGCCCTGGAAATAATGGAGGTGGACTTGAAGATACCTAGACTTGCAAAAAGGCAAATGAACCGGGCAAACTATCAAAGTGCATCTGAACCCACTACTGAGAAAGATGAAGTTGCTTCTTACTGGCGAAAAGCTGTATACATACCAATATTAGATTACATCTTACTTGATCTAAGTGAACGGTTTTCGGAAGATACTATGAAATGTTTCCAAATGAACATTTTGTTACCAGGACAACTTGACCTAATACCAGACGTAACAAAGCTAAAAGAAGCTGTTGAACCATTGTGCAAGACATATTCTGGCTTAATGTCATACAATTTTGATACGATGGTCTCCAAATTAATAAATGAAATAATTTCACTCAAGAATTCCAGTTCATACAGCAGTTTGAAAAACATCACCAGAGCCACTGAAGCTTATGATAAATGCGATAGCAACGCCTATCCATTGCTGAAGACTCTACTGCAAATTTTATCATCATTGCCGATTTCTGCAGCAACTGCTGAACGAAGTTTTTCTACTTTACGAAGAGTGAAAACTTGGATGAGGTCAAGAATGACGGAAGACCGCTTAACAGGACTAGCATTATTATATGTTCACAAAGACATAACCATAAACATTGATAATGTTGTCAATAACTTTGCTGCAAAAAAATCCAGAAGATTGGACTTTGTCGTCTAAAAAATAGGCTAATACTGACCGATAGTTGACCCATCAGGCCCTGATTATATTCGTGAGAGAATAAATGTTATTTGGTTAGTTAGGCATTATTTGGCCTAATTTCACAATCTGAACACTTTTAAATGTGTTCTAGTTTGTTTACATATTTTAGTAGTTTTCCCTTACTCGTAAAAATCACATGCATATGTGATATGCATATGTGCATATGTGGATGTGGTATGCATATTAAAATTACTTCTTGTAATTTTGCAATAGGTTGGTAAATTACCTGATTTGATGTAACTTATTTACATGTCCCAAAGACGTTTTAGTAGGCCAAAAGTTTTAATATTATGTAGCTTTAAGGTCAAGTGTTGTTTTTCCTAAGCGAGGCCAGCTTAAATAAGTATTATAGGCTATTTTAGTTTTAAATTTTTATTAGCAAAGAAAGCTTTTTATTTTATTTACTTTTAGTTTTCAACCACATAAGATAATGTTTATGTGCTATCAAAATCAAATATGTTTTGTTGTTCATAGCGGATGTTTTTAGTTTTAGTTTTTTTATCAACAAAGGGGGAGCTGTTTATTTACGTTTAGTTCTAAACCAATGTGAGATTATGTTTACGTGTTATAAGCCATGTTTTGTTATTCATAAGCAAAGCTAGCAAAGTAGGCTAAGGCTAGTAAAGTTTTATGTTTTAGTTTTTTTTTGAGCAAAGGAAGCTTTTGATTATGTTTAGTTAGTTTTAAAGCAATTAAATAATTTGCTTCATGTTTAAATTGTATAATCAACTCAGCTACATATATTGTTTACTCTCGTCTCTCATAGTTTTTCTTTATGCAAAAAATGGTTACTCTCTCGCGTTATTTTTGCCACTATAAAATCCACATTCGTTCGTGTAATTATTTATAATGTTTGTCTGAATAAAAATAAACATTTTAGATTATATTTGACCTTTGTTTAAAATAGTTACCTATACTCAATCAGTTCAATAAATACTTCAAACATGCAATTTAAAATAATCTACAATTGACAAATGTCAAATTATTATCGTTATCCTATAAATTTATGTTTGAAGTAAAAAAAAAAAACGTTGTTTTAACCAGGGGTGCCCATCCCCCCCTAGACTCATGACGCACCCCCCCCCCCCCAATTGAGCAACAGCCCCCCCCCACCATAAATGATGTACACAACAAATGAGAAACATTATTCCCCCGCCCAGCACATTTGTAAAACTATAAAAGAAGTTTTATAATTTTTTTTAGATATTTAAAATTCAAACCCAGTTAATCTATATAAATAAAGTTATAGTTTAGTCTGTACACTGCTCAGAATTATACATATTTTGGGTTATTTATGTTCTATACATTGAAGAAGTTGAAACATGTCTTATCTCAATTTATGTCCGTCTGTCACGGCCCAGAAGGCCTTTTATGCAGTCTACTCTAAAGAAAACTAAAGTACCGATTACGATTCTAATGGTTTAATTGAATCCACAGGATTGGCGAGAGAGTCCTTATAGCCATTAAAATATGGCCTCACTATTTTGGAAATAAAATAACGGACGATCAAAAACACAATTTTGTGTGATTTTTCTAGTTTATTTTCTCCATGTTTACTACATACGTCATTAATTAATGAAATACTAATAATCTGTTAAGAGAACACGTCATATATGATATTACGAACAGCCGTTTTGATAAAGATTCCTTTTCCTAGCTGAACTGATATGTTTACATAAATGTTGTTTACGAATACTGTGTAGGCCCTAACCATTTCCGATCACGTTTGTAACCATTTCCGATCACGTTTGTAAGCAAATCCAAAACCAAGTGATATTAATAACCGTGTGGCTTTGGCTTACACAACGGGTTTCATTTATCACGGGTACCTACTAATATGTAACTGTAAATTAAATTAAATAACTAGCCATCATCCAGGTCGGGAACCGGAGATTCTGTGTGTATCAAGTTGTACTTGAATTTTGATTACAGGGAAAAGACCGTGATTTAGTGTTGTACAGGACTGGAAAATTTATCTTTCTATATAAATAAAATTAGAGTTTTATAAGTCACCTCAATTTAAGTAATTCTTTATTGCCAGAATATCCATATAGCGTTCGTAACCTCTGCTTAACGAATTGTCAGCGTCTTTCTCGATATAACGATGCCCTCTCCCTCCCTTTAGAAACATCACAAGCTCCTTTGATGAAAATTAAATGGAAACAACGCTTGCGCCAATAATCGTCTGCTCCGTTTTATGTCTGCTGTGCGCTATGTTACAACAGATTTGAGATACAACAGCTGGGGAATGAATGATGACGATATAATCATAGATAAATCATAATGCTTAGTTAACTGTGATTGAGTGAAATATTAGTAACCATGGTAACTTAAGTAAGGTTGTGATTGGCCGATGAGTAGGCCTAAATATGGCGACTTGTTGAATTTGTGTATGAATTGAAGAGAAACCAATTAAAGAACAGAAGAACAAAGAAAAAGAATTACGAGATTGTTCTCGTTACATTCTTTTAGCGAATTTCCCTATAGGGAAGTAGCTATTACCGTAGGTCTCATGGTAAGACTTAGGCCCGGGACCGATTTACTTTTTCATTTTAATGTCCCCAGAGGCCAAAAACACCATTCATTCAAATTTTTATATATGTATATATATATATATATATATATATATATATAGATTTATATATATATATATATATGTGTCCGTGAACACGATAACTTGAGTAATTTTTATCCGATTTTGATGAAATTTGGTTTGAAGGTGTAAGGCGGGATAAACTTGAATGAGTTCGCGATCCAGCATGATCGGACCATGGGAACAGGGTTTTATGGGGGGTTTTATGGGGTAAAAATTGGTTTTTCTCACTTTTTACCCTCAAAACACAAAATTTCCCAATTTTTCTCTAAACCTTCTTAAAGAGCTTAAAAAAACAAACAATTCAGTATATCAAAGTGTTTTTGTACGGTTATTGGTTACGGAGAAAACTAAAAAAATGGTAAATTTAAAATTCCCATGTTATTCTTATGGAGAATATTGTAAAATGTTGTAGTTTGCTTGTTTATGGATATATTTTGATCAAACTTGGCAAATTTATTTATTTTATAGTAAGCTATCAATATTTTACTAAAAACACACTACTTTATTAGTTTCCTTGTAGCAGCAAACCTAGGTACTCGTTAAACCTAATGTTATTTAAATAGATCAATTGAAAATCAATTCGGCCAAATGGAAATTCGCTTAGACGGCAGGTTTGCTGCGGCGGGGGTATTTTAAGAGTGTTTTAATTATCTCTAAATATAATTTTACACTTTTTTTATTACTTATCTGTCAATTCCTATGCTGTGATACAGCACCTATCGGTAGCCTATCTGTCTATCACGAGCAGTACCTTATAACACTTTCTAAAGGTTCCTTTAATATTTACGTTTTTTATAGCAACGCAATGTTTGGCTAGTGATTAGTTGAGTTTGAGTTAGCTAAAATGTTAAACGTTGCCGTTTGTACAACTGAACCAAGATAAATGATTTGAAATTTACAATAATAATGTTATTGCACAATAATAATGATTATGCAATAGGCTATTGAATTTCGTTTATAAAAAAGCAAATCGTGACGTTAATGGCTGTTTGCTGTTTACAGCGTTTTAATGAGTTTGTCATCTGTTTTTATTGGATTAACCGTATTTTTCATTACCCCCCCCCTCTCCCTATTAACTCAGGTAATCGAGTATCTACACAATATTGTTAAGTATTGTAGCCTATGCTACTTGATTGTACGTATTTTAACGAGCTTTATGTCAACAAAGCGTTCTGTGCTAAGTCGCGGTGTAGCTGGACGTGTCTGTACCACGCGTTATCTTTTATCTATCACAGCAGTTGAGCCATCCCGTGCGCTCCCTCTAGATCTCACGTCTTGCTAATCTTAAATAATAACTTTCTACACGAATTCTAAACTATCCTAAAATCCTATTTTAACTAATTTAATTCAATAATATAACTATTGTCATTAATTAATCCACTTTCTATCTGGTGACTGTGTAATATATTTTTGATTGTCGTCAAGTTGAACACTGTTGCAATTAGCTTTAGCCACCCCCCCCCCCCATTTGAATTTTTTGAGCCCCCCCCCAAGAATTTCAATGACGCAGTCTGCGTCACAGCCCCCCCCTTGTGGGCACCCCTGTTTTAACGATTTTTAGTCCAGATTTGATGACACCAATACTGTATTGCATAACAGGCGATACAGTACAGTATCATTGGAAGATTAAGGCAGTAACTTGAGTGGGTGAGGCAGGGAGGTATAGTCAAATCCAAAGGTAGAATAAGTGGCTTTATTCTGCGTTTGCAGTGAACACAATTTCACGGATAGTCCTCCAGAAACATGACTGCACTGCTGAAAACGAACAAGAATTTTAAAGTTAGTGTAAGTGTTTGCGTTGTACTTCACGTTATAAAATTATTCCATTAAATAATCATGAAAATAATATTAGCAAAACAAGCTGATAGTTTGTTTAAACTGCCGTTCTCAAGGAAAGTTGAATGGCGATTTGAATATTTGTTTACTAAACTTTAGACAAAGAAATGGTCTAAAAGCCGTCATTTTGGACACTTATATCACAAAATTTTTTCGGGGGGGGACCCCCGAACCCCCCGCTTTCACTGGGGGGTATTCCATACCCCCCAGGCCCCCCGGTTCGCCCCCCCCTTGTCACTGTTCTAGATCCGCCACTGGTGCCTACAGAGTTCACCATTCATCCATAGTTTTACATTATTTTTACAGCTCAAGTTCAAAATCTTCTCTCTCTTCATTTTATATGGTTCTTGGATTTACCTGACACGATGGAGTAACTGATCCGAGCGTTTTCGCCGTGGTCTGCATCGGTCGCTGCTACAGTGACGACTCTAGAGCCAGGGAGAGAACTCTCAGATGCAGCAGCAGTCACGACTCCGCTCGTCCACACGGGGGCATGGTCGTTAGTGTCGGTCACTTTGACAATCACACGAGTGAAGCCTCTCAGTCCTCCGTCCGAGACACATAGAATCAACTCGTGCTCTGTGATTGTCTCTCTGGAAGCGAAAAGAATTATTTGTGTGGGATATCCCAAAGAATATTAAATAAACGGTATCAGCAATCTGACAAATACTTTTCCCTATTAGCTTCTTAAAAACTCTAATAATTAGAAAGCGATGGGTATTTTACTAGTAGTTACTAGTACAGTGGAACCTTGATAAGAAGACCCTCTATAACAACTCGCCCTTGATAACAAGTGTCATTTTCAAATCCCCTTAAAATTATTTTACCCCTAATTACATGTTATTACAAACCTCGATAAGAAGTCAACCTTGATAACAAGTCTTATTTTACAATCCCCATGAGAGTCTTGTCATCAGGTTCTACTATATTTTTTTTTTAATTTAGAAACTATGGTATTTTATGTATTAAGTCAAAAAAATTTCAATATCTTTTGAACCTTATTTTTTATGGCAATGGGGGTTGTACCATTTTGTTTAGAGTTAAAAAGGACCATAACATACCAAATTTTAATCCAATTGTTTGAGCCTTTTTTTGTGGAAATCCGATTTTTCTGTTATTTTATGGGTTTTTATTGGAAATCAACATTTAAAATTGAAAATAAAAAAAAAAAACTACTGGAGACACCGTGAAACATTAGACGTTTGACGTCTTTGGTACCCATATACCAAATGTAACAGTAGGTATTTTTTTGAAACCTGATTTTTAGAGTGTTCTTTTTAGTTCCAAGATTCAAAATATCTCATTTCGACCATCACCACATTGAAGTTCATCCAATGTCTCTGAGATCAAAACAGAGATTGTACAACTACTATAATTTTATGGTTGGATCCAACCAAATCTGGTAGATTTTTTTCCACTCCAAAGGATCAGAACATGTATTATAGTACGGTCCACGAGAGTCTGCAGTTGAGGGAGGAGCCTATTTACCACGTGACTTCAAAGGAACCAATGAGGACAGTGCGGTGTTGCCAAATCTAATAATACCAGCTGATTTGAAAATATTGTTTAGTATATTTTTATTAGTGTTGAAAATTAGTGAACAGGCGATGTTGCAACGCCGCGCTAGTCCAGTCTTGAAATTGGCTACCGCCAACTGCAGACTCTTGTGGCCCCTAGTGTAGTGTGCTCTACTACAAAGAATCTCATGACGAAGCAAGGTAACTTAAACCATTTAACGTGTTCACCTATCAAGTGGTAACGCCACTGTGAGCACGCCTGTGGAGTGATGAAGATGAAACATCTGAAGACTCGTCAGGCTCCGGGCTTGGTGAATTGAGTAGACCAGCTGACTGGAAGCATCTTCATCGTAGGCTTTCACCTTCAGTAGAGACGTTCCGACTGCAACCTCCTCCCCGACCTCTACTTGGTACTGTGATTGTGGGAACTTTGGTGTGAACTCGTTACTGTCGATCACCTCAATGGTAACCTACAAGATATATTGTAAATGTAAGTTGTATAATTAAATGAAAATTGTTCTTCATTGAGGCAAACTTAGGGCATCATAGTCCTTTTGTTACAGTTGACCTCTAAAAAACTAACAATAACAAAATATTAACGAAAGCAAAAACAACAAGTGTATACTGAAGGAATAGAAAATATTTTGTTTTAAAAACAAGAACTATCGATGACCGGCCTCAATCAATCAAATCTTTATTTATGAAAGCACAAGTTTGTACATTTGAATGGTGTCAAATAGGCATATACAGGGGCTAATGAGAAAGTAAAGAGCGTTTTAGAATAAAAAAAAGCTTATGCAAGATTTTCATGATATACATTTTTGAAAAGTTAATAAAATTCCTTTTTTACACAGTTGCCAAACAAATCGAGTCACTTATAATAGCGGTGGACAAGATTAGAAATTTTTTGTCAACTTTTCTGACTAAGCTCAGTTACTTGGTGATGCACAATTGGAGCTGCTTCTGGTCATCAAAGCGCAAGACTAAATAAGAGAGGTTTCTATCAATATATGGGATTTACAAGGAGTGGGAATGCAGGTCCAATGTGTTCCGTTCAACTGCACCATTGATTGTCACCAATCATCTATGAACGTAGTAGTTTTAAGTTCACCTGTGTATGCACTGTTCGCCGACTGTCCGACAAACTTATGGTCAAGTTGTAGAAATTTTGTGTTTCATAGTCCAACTGTCGTGCTAGGTGAATACTCCCTGAGTCGGAGCCGATAACAAACTCTGCTTTTGGATCCCCGCCTGTGAAAAGGGTTTAGTGGTTAATAGTTTTTTTGGAGTAGAGCTTTAGGAAACCAATACATCTACGATAGTAAATTGCATGTTGATATAGTATACTTGCAAAAACACCATGTCGAGTCTTATTCAGAATAAGTAACACTAAACTGTGTAGAAAACAGTTCAACAATGCATCAGCTGATCGAAAATGAATAGTGGTTACAGGTGTACCAACTTATGATCTTCTGTCCTTAAACAATGTCTCTTGGTACACGTAATTAGGGTTGCATTAAAAAAATAAACTGTACCAGAAATCTGACAAATACTTTCTCCTATTCTTGTCAAAAAACCCTTATCATGAGCAAGTGGTAGGATTAACTATGATATTTTATGGGTAAAATCACAAGTTGCAATAACTTTTGAACCATATTTTTTGCAGTATTGGGGCTTGTACCATTTTAAAATTTTAGTTAAAATTGTTTGGGCCGCACACACATATCACGTTGAAAACTTCTTTTTGGGGTTCAGTTGGACCCAAAGCAGATACATTCACCCAAAATACTAACAAATGATGACAAAAACAATACTTTCTCCACGTACTATGTATAGGCAGGGAAAGCAAAAATACCCTAGATATAAGTTGACATAAAAGACAACGCCTTACCAACAATAGTAAACCACACCAGTCCAGTGTCCACCACCGGAGGTTGTACCACAGCCACTAAGTAGCCTATAGGGTCTTGTTCAGTAACTTGTACATGGGTGTGAGCCGGAGGTATCAAGTTGGACGTATCCACTCCTTGTACACCCATCACATGGACACTGGCACGCACTGTAGAACTACGTCTGGGGCTGCCGCGATCCGTGGCCTTCACCTATCACAGATTGTTTATTTACAGATAACTCTAATTATTACAATAAAATGGCGTAACGTAACCGTTGAGAGAGTAATAAATTAATAAACAATATATGCATGTGTGAGTCTCGTAGATGATAAAAATGGCTTGTATCTACAAACTCAATATACAGGGTGTCCCCAAACTATCGACCTTTTAAAATATCATTAATAGACCAAAGACAAAATAAAATATCACATAAAAATTTTCCAAAACCCAAAAGTCATCCGCACAGCTGCCATGTTGTCTTTTTCTCAAAACCATTTTGGGTTTTATTAGCGGCGATTTCTTGTAGATCGATATTTAGTGCATAAACTAGTAAAGCAAAAGCGAAGCCCTTTGTTGAGAAAAATTCCTTTTTTTCTCTTACAATGTTTGGTTTCAAAATGATGGTCATAACATAAAAACTGCACAGGTAATTGGGAATGATTTATTAATGCCTTGAAAGAACCATAGAGAGATAGGGGACACCCTGTATAAGATTTTATTGAAACCTCTAAGGAAAAAAACTAGAGAGCACACAAACTACTATGACCTAGCTTCAACGCTGTGTTACATATTCAACTCAGGTTCATAAGACGAGACCCTTTGATGTCAGATGAGTTTCAATGTTGAATAAATATTCTGTATATTCTAGGAAAACTGTAATATTTCTTTGTTCATACCGATGTATTAAATTTGACGGATATTTACATAACATAAATTATTCAATATATTTTCTAAGTAATTATTTTAAAACTTGAGCAGTATAAGCAATGAATACATAACCCTATAGAACCGAAAACACCTTATTAAAATAGGCGACGCTACGAAGATTTTTTTGCCAGCGGCAGTTCACGAAGATTTATGTTAGGAAGCGCTAGCGTAGCCAGCCAAGTCTTCGTGAACTTCCGCTAGCAGCAATCTTCGTAGCGTCGCCTCATAATATGGCGGTTTCGCTTCTTATAAGGTTCATTGGTATAAGGTATAAGTGAGTAAAGTAACTGAAGTTCAAGATTTACTTTTTAGACATATATCTTGCTACTCAGTGAAGAAGTTATATGTTGTTAAAGATTATTTATCTCACTTTTCTTTTTACTTGGTCCATTATTTTGTGCTAATGGATTAATAAATTTGCCAACGGTCGCCTGATTTCTTAATTGTAGTTGAAGTACACATTTTGTATGTTGCAGCATTATTAGGTTATTCTTACTTCTCACTGATTAACTATTTTATTAGTTCTATTCAAAACTAATAAATCATGAAAATATAGAATACAATAAACAAAATATTACTGAAAACCAACTCAAAATTAAACTCAAACCCTAGTAAATCTAACCACAAAAATAATGTAATCAACACAGAAATTGCTTTATAAAAAACCAACCCTAAAGATAAAGACAAAAAAATTTTCTTACAACAGAAGTCATTGAAAAAAAGTATGATAAAACATTAAGAAAACACACATTGCAGACGAGCGGACATTTTAACCAACATGGGGTTTTTACGAATAAAAAAAGAAAATTTATGCAAATTTATTTATTAAAATTGAGTATTATACTATGAATGTTAACCTTACAGTAGTCTGTGAGAACTGGCAGATGTCAAAAGGGGAGAGTCCTGCCCCAAGCAAAGCTTTAGGCGTTCACTCCCCTAACAATGCTTTTACTTAACAATCAACAGACATAATCCAACCCATTAGAGGAAAAAGGAACTTGAACAGATGTTTGAAAGAAGCTATTAAATCTTGAACTCTGCACTGGGAAATAATATTCCCAAAATATAATATTTTTAAGGTCCCAGTATGTGTAAGTGCAAAGATTTGTATGCTCTTTCTACTCAACATCGAGGTAAAAAATTAGTATCAAGATCTTATTAGTTAAGTTTGTCAATGTAAATTGAGCTCCATGTTTTTTTTGTTACATTTTTTCTAAAATACTCTTTTTAGTAAAACCATAGACTAACCAACACAAGTAGACTTCTCATCCCATTGTAAATTTTGAAGCACGTTTTTCGTGTCTAGTTCATGTACGTGACACAAAGGCGCTAGTGTCGATGAAACTTTGTTTCCATTATTTTAGGGTTAATTTCTTGATTTGTGCTTTACTGTTTGGTTATATAACTAGGAGACAAGTTATTGTTTATGATCAGATCGTATTATTTGGTTAAACGAGGTTTTAAATGGTTGTAATAACGGGAAACAAATTGTAAACAAAACACGACCTCTACATAAACCGTACATGAACTAACAATAAAATTGTCTTCAGCTGTTCAATAAGGATGAGAAATCTACTAAGGGAGTATGTTTTATCTATGGTAAAACGTTGTTCCAATATTTTGATAAATTAAAATGAATGTGTATAACAATCAGTCAAAAGTTGTAAACTTTGTAATTCATTAAACATTGTAAATTAATAAATTACAAAATTAAAATGTATTGCTGTATTATGTAAATGCATGTATGCTGTAATGCATGTATTATGTATGCTGTAAATGTATTATGTGTATTGCTGCAATGATACATTTAAACAACAGAATCAACATTTAATCAATCAAAATACTAGTAACTTTATTGAATATGCATATTTTTAAATGCACCCAATGGAGTCTATTTTGTTGCTTAAAAATCCTAAATTATATATACATATCATGTGTATGATGACATCCACAACACAACAAAAGATAAAAATTATAATATAAAATAATGAAATGACAGAATACAATTGCAACATTTCATTTTCTCTAGTTTATTTACATGATGTCAGAGGTTATTCAATAATTAAATGAGGGAAACAAGTAGATAGAGTTATGTAAACCTTCACATTGAATTGTTTCAATAAATGGAACCACCAACCGCAAACTCACATTGAGAACGTAGTTTGTACGTCTACTTTTGTAGCTGCTACTCCTTTCAAGGTTTATTGGCGAAGTCGAACAAACAGTTAGGCATGTAACTAAATAGGCTCCTCATCTGTATTTGAAAATTACTATTGCTATTGTCAATTAAGATGGAGACGTCGTCTGAGTGTGTATCTCAACCCAAACATGAGTGAACGATGAGTGTAGAATGGTGTGAGGTGATCTGTGTAGTTTTGTTCCTGACTAAGATCAGCTGTTCCATTAGCCAGGACCATTTAAGCACAATGTTCAAGAACAGTTATGTCCCTAGTTTTGAATCATCAAAAAGGTACATACTTTTCTCAGGATTCATACTTTTATACTATGATATAAATAATTTATGAATGATACTTTAAACAAATTAAATAAACCTCACAACATTAGTTAACACCAACACCAAAATTAGTCTGTAATACTCAAAGAAAGAATATATAAAACTTTGAAGTGTAGAAATTTTTTCAGACTATATTTTACTGACTAATTATACAATTTTTTCATTGTTGAGTGAGAGTATCAAAATAAAATATAGCGTAAACCACACTTAACATTACCAGGATTTTAAGAAAGGCATATATATTTTGTTAAAACACCTCTAAAGAACCAAATTTCACCGATATTCATTTTCACAATACACTTCAAATCATGTTTATGCACACAATATTTTTTTACAACAAAATGAGTTGTGATTCCATATTTATTGCTGTGAAGGCATAAGTGTTTTACAAATTCATAAATTTTCAACAAATTAAACTAAAGGGATACAATTAAAATTGAATGAATAACAAAGTATTTTATCAAAGACGGAACAAGGATTAAAACTAAACAGGATGTATAGGTAAATTTTGAAATAAATATTCCTCAAGTTCAACAAACCGTCGGTTTGTAAATCGCAACATAGGGAAAACTTCGCAAACCGCAAAACCGTAAAGCGAGTTAGGAGATATAAAGTCTACCAAGCTTTGATTGTAACGAGGTGTTGTGGCGGTTTATTTGTTAGCATTACGTAACATTGTAAAGATTTAAAGGTTTTACTGGTATCAAAATGTAATTTTTAGCGTTTAAAACATTAAAATCTTTAAATCTACATTATTTATCTATTTTTTTTTCTGCAGTATTTCCTACTTATTTTTAAGTAATGTTTATAAATGGGAATAGACTTTGCAAAATTTTATTTTAAAACCTTCTGTAATCAAAGACTTTCTGTTCTTTAAAGAATACAGAAACCATCAGCTTACAATGTAATATGGGTAAAACCAATTTTTTTATCATTTAGAAATTTTATTTAATCTTCAGAATAAGTTTTAAAATGTACTAGTATTATTTTTATTTTCCTAGTACTGAATCAAAATTTAACGCTCTCAAAAGTGTACGGGTGATTAAAACCACTTGACAGATTTTTAATAATTTTTGATATTTTGGAATGATGGATATTTTGGGCAGGATATGTTGTGTATTTTGACGGCATGGTTTTAGTTTAGGATTTAAGTTTTCAGAAATTGGGTTTTAATTTTTTTAAGTCTAGGACTCTAGCAATTTAAAGTCGTTTCAGTGCTAGTTTAACTAACGGGTTTTAAACTGGCATTGAAATGTTTATGTTACAAGTTTAAATTTTGAAAACATCTGATTGATGAACTTCTGATTTTGTTTCTGTAATGAACTTTGGATAATTAATAAACGTATTTCATTTAATTTTTGTATTTATGATTAGGTATAATTTGTGCAAGGGAGCATCATTTTGGGCAAAGATAAGATGGGGGTGTAGAATTTACAAGAAGATGTGTTATTAAAATCAGCTGATATTTTATCCAGTTCCAACATTTTTTGGTAATAACTAATTATCATCACTAAAAGTCTGTTATTTTAAACGGCAATGTTTTACGTTACAAGTTGTGGGAAAGGGGTTAGAAAATCTTATAAGATGGGGACTCACACTCATAAAATTATAAAAGAACAACATATATTGTTATGTTCTGAGCCACTAGTAGGCTACGGTATATGTATAATATTGTAATTAGCTTATCAACTGATTGTAATGTAATCCTAACAAGAAGTAATGAGGATATCAAAATGTTATCATGTATTCCAGGTGAGAA